GTGTACCAGAAGCCACCATAATATTACATTAAGTAGCGCCACATTTTTGATGCCCATTTGAAATTCAACAGCGGTACCTGTTACATATTTATATTTACACCAAAAAAACTCGATTGTTTTCGTGTGTCGTCACTCCGCCATCTGTCATCTTTTGTATATATATATATATATATATATGAACGTATTTATGCATATGTATAAGGTAATAAACAGCTTCGTGATAACGAATATCTAAATAATAATGTACAAGTGTAACGCAACCGTAGGTGTGTACGTATACTATATTTTTCGAAAAGTACATTTGAATTGCAGAGGACATCGGCACAGCTTAAGGCCATTTGAATAAATGTACTATACAGGCAAATCGTACAGCACACACAACACCACACGTATACTAAATTTTATTACGCAAACGATTGCAACGTTGTAAGTACATACGATTAATATCTGCGGCGAATGAATATTGTACGGATAACATTAAATTGCCCGAAAAATTACATGGAAAATAATCAAGGTGTTTTGCGCAATCCTTATGCGCATCTCTATCGCTCGTTTGTCATAAAGTCATCAAGTTATTGTTACTAAAGTAAAATTACGCTCAAATCGAGCTTCAAAAGTTTTGTACGATAATTATTTGGTACTTGGTCCTGCATGTAATTTATTAAATATGAATGCTATACTTATGTAATCTATACAGATGAAATATTGTAGATTTTAACAAAGGATTTAGTTTTTTTTTTCCAGAGTACTTATTTGTAAAGCAAGTGAGAGACAAGATAAGCAAGGACGCCGAGAGATCCAGTCACGAAGCCGGACTTTGGTATAAAAAAAAAAGAAATTTGATTTACCTCGGGGCTTGACAATACTCTCGTTATAAACAATCTTTCCGTACTTACGATACCTGCACGTACACTTGTAAAAATAGTAGTACTTTCATTCCACTGAGCGAAAAAAGGAGCAGAGAAAGAAACAAATTTAACTTTCATTTGCTCCCAAATACCCAAGTGTACGCGTATTTATGTATGGTCAAAGATCGCGAGTATCCGATTGGCTCGTGTACCACTTTTGCGATACAACTTTCAGATTAACCAAATCGATCGATTAAAAATCCGAGTACGTATACCTATATACCTACTTGTAACACGAGAGTACCTATATTACGTGACGTGTTCTTCGCCACACGTGTAGAATTATGATGCGAAGGTGCGTATCTCTGCGATTTTTGACGGACACGCACACGAGGGTTAAAGCTACATATGTATATGTACGCCTACGCGCGAAACGTCCCGGGCCACTGTTGTCGGTTGTGAGCATTAAAACATACATCAGCTCCATCGGGTGGAAGGACTGCGAGAGATATACATTATTTTTGTAGGATTTTCGTAAGATTGTAAGATTCACGACCACACGGGACATTCATCTATTTACATTTGATTTCAAAAGCGATTCAAAGCACCTAAAAAAATGTGGACGGGAAAAGCGCTAAATATATATATAAAACAAACAACCCACCTCGAGCCCGACAGAGATAAGCTATAGCGTACATAAAATGTCATTCGGGAATGATACACATTCGCAAAGGCGCGTAAAAATGTCGCGCAACTCTTATCTCCGTTCGCGGGCGCCTTTATCGTATCTTGCTCGAAAAAAAAAAAAAAGCGAGGAAGTTGTCAACCTTGACAAACACACACGCCATCCTCGGCGACCATGTACAGAAAATAACCCAAAAAAAAGCCCAGCTTCCTCTTCCCTCCGACAGAGCCAAAAAAAAACAAGGAACACGTATAATCCACGGAACACTAATAAATTCTCCAAAGGCTCGTAAAGAAAAAAAAAACAACAAAAAAATAAAAAACCCAATCCCCGACAGCTAGCGACGACAGACACAGAGAGAGAAGCACACAGTATACCATAGTCTCGAGAGTCAGTCAGATTTTCCCCAGAGCAACATTGCACGCACCCGCCCCGCGACGACGACCAGCCCCGTGTGTACATGTAGCGGTGGTGGCGTGCGCGCGCAACCCCTCCTGCCCCTACGCCACCCCCTTTTCGTCCTGCAGCTTATAAACACGCGAAACGGCCACCCTCGCCCCCCCCCCTCCATCCCGAGCGAAGCCCGGTGTTGCGACGTATACGTGTATATAAATATATACGTGTGCGTGGGGTGAACGTATGGGCTACATCCCCTGCCCCTCAGCGTTGGTGTATCGATCCTCGGGCGACGTAGGGTGTTATATACGAAAAGCCCGTACCCACTCCACCCCCACCCCTCCGACAACTCTCGCAAAATTATGACGGTGATGCACCCGTGAGATGGCCCTTTTTCTCTCTCTCCTCTCCTTCGATTCCTCTCACCCTCTTTTCTTTTTTTCTCTCCTCATTCCTTCTGGCCAACAAGAGTTACGGGGATGCTGGCTCTCCTCCGTATGCGCGCAATCAGCCGCGGCTCTCGTTACCGTTGTTGTCATGCAAACGCACGATTGCGTGGGAGCGAGGCTGCACCGCGTAAGTTTATATACTTATGATGTGTGCGACGTGTGCTTACACAGACCCTACCCCCACATATTATATACGTATGGCATTACAACAGCGAACAAGGGCTGGATATGTTTTGTACACCATCATCGCCCGCCATTTCTCCTTGTCATTTTTTTCTTGTCTCCCTTTACATTGTACTTTGCGCTGTGGGAGGAAAAAGAAAAAAAAAGCAATAATAAAAAAATGTAAGAGATGGGTTCATCGTCCCGTTTTTCTCGCCGAACTCTCTTTTTCTACTTCTGTGTAGGTGTATAATATAATGTATATATGTATCCAGCCGACGAGGAAGTTCACGGAGGGGGGGGGGCAGAGCTTCCTTCCGCAATCGGTGGAATTGATTTTCCTCTCTTTCCCGGCGAGGTTCTGCCTGTCGTTTTACCTTTTCCTTTTCGGTGGTGTCTCACTCGTTGCGGTCATATTTTTTCTTTTTTTTACCAATGGTACGATCAAAGGTAAATAATACATGGACCGGGGAAGGGGGGGGGGTGCTTTTCCTCCCTTTGGATTTTTCACGAGAGGGCGGGGACGACCACCGGGCGTTTTCCCTGCCCTGTGTGTGTATCTGTCTCCCTCTCCGATGCTGCTCCGGCCGGCGATCGATGACATTTTTTCGCGCTTTTCCACCATCACCCGAGGAAATAAGTTTCGGCAAAATACGCATCTATGTGCTCCCGAAAGGGGCGCGTTATATGTGCCTGCCAGTGTGTTGTACAGAGATGGGTCGCGTGCGGGGAGAAAGAGAGACGAGGAGGAGGGGAGAAACCTCCTTTGTTCAACGCGCTCAGATGAGAGAGGCTGCAGCGCTGCCCCGATGCAACAGTGGCGTCCATACGTCTGCTGCGAGACGATTTTTTTTTTTTTTTTTTTTTTTTTTTACGCGTCTTACGTTGTACAATTTCGGAGCAGACTTTCCGTTCGTTTACATATTGCGCGTATGGGGTTTTGCACTGTATCGATCATGCGTGAGTAAGATGTCTATGTTTGACACGGCTTGTAGCCAGTGCACTCACCTCGAATGATAGCCGATCGAGCAACAACACTCGTGCTGTTGCTGCTGCCAGGACACGGCAGTCTTTGGTTGTTGTTGTTGTTGTTGTTGTTGTTGTTGTAAGTTTGTTTATACTGACGGTCGACTCCGTTTTTTTAGTTTTGGAGCAGCGATCTTAGCGACAAACTGTAGGGGAAGAACAACTCACTCGCGAATCCGATCGTTGCGGTGATGCACTGTAGGTATAATGTACCTGGAGATACATTAGCAAGTGACAGGGTCGTGTGTTGACAAACAGAGGATGACTGCACCCACGGTTTTTTATTTTTCGTGTAACGCTGACGGAGCGTTTTTTTTCCTCTTCGTTGAGGATGAATTTGTTTTTTTTTTTTTTTTTTCGTGAATAAATTAGGTGTGCAAATTAATACACGACACATATACCCACGCACACACACGACGCTTTTTCCACGCACGTACAAACACCCACGCTCGACGAGGAGCCGAACTCGACTGCTGCTGAAAGCGCAGAACAGTGGATGAGGGGGAGCCGTATTAATGTTACCGAACGTTGACTAACTTCAAGTCGCTCGAGCGGCAATTCGCTTACGTGTTGAAATAACACTTGAAGTTAGCCATCGTTAGAGAATTTCGCTGTCGGCCTGTACAAGTACAGGAAACTTAAGAAAAAAAAAAAATATTAGTGATCAATGTGAATCACATTATGTGATCATATTAATAATAAAAGTACAGCGCATGCGTATAAGCCATTGTAGAAATTGAAAGGTGGAACCTTGGGCTAAGCTCGGTTGCCACACTGCCCACCTTGCCTGACCTGGCCTCCGTGGGATTGTGACACGGTCCTGACTTGGCCTGATTTGGCCCTGACGATCACCCAATCAACTTTCATCTGCGAATTAGCTTATACTGTGGCAAATTTTAAGTTATAGTTTATTGGCATAAATGTATGATGCGTGTCTGGCGGATAATTTTCCGGGAGCGGCGAGAGTTTTAGTCTAAAACCCCTAAGTATTATGATGGATAGTGGGGAGCGCGCCCATCTAAAACATTTTACAAGTTTTTGTTGATTGTCAACTAGTAAACAATGTCATGAAGAGTCGATGTATATTTATGTTAGGTGTGACAGTTCACTATGAAAAATTAAAGGTTTGAATTAACTAATCTTTAGATGTAAATGTTACGATTTGTTTTCTTGTTTAATGTAGTCGTGGAACTAACTACACTTTCCGAAATTGTCGTTTACACGTCTTGTAGCGATAAATATCGTCATTGAATTATATAATTTAAGATGTTAAAAGGAAAAAAAAGGTACTGAATTAACAATTTAGCAGAAGGTATACCTACGGGATGGTTTTTTTCGGAAATAATCAATATTGTAGATGAGGTAAATTCATGTTTTAAAAAATGAATAGGTACATGAGAGGTGGTTGATTAAGTGAAGAGAGCATTTATAAACTGTTACATGACAATGTTTATTCCAACAAAATCAGTGGTAATAAGAATGACAATAGTAATTATAAGAATATGATAATAATAGTTTATGTAAATAAGAATCATATCCAAAACGATAGTTAATAACAGACCAAAAGAGCTCGTAATCATCATGCACTCTTCGATTCATTTGTCTAACATATAACATCAGTCACAATCTCAAACACTCCGAAAACTTTTGTCCCCTGTATGACTAGTTGTGAAAAATTACCCCCTTTTTTTTGTAACTACAACATTTCCCCTTTGTCGTTCTGCACTCATCTTTTCATCACACTCATTGTGCTTCTTTTTGTTTTCCATTTCTTTTTCACTTTAGCCATTTCTTTTTTATTTTATCTGCCCTTTTTCAATACAAACATTAAAAAAAGCTGGAATGATTATTGGAAGGTATCTTTAAAACGTTAGGTACCTAGTCTTTAGAAAAAAAAAAAACTATGCAACTGCTACGTAGCGAGGTTTCAACGATTAATCCATTTTTCACTTGATCTTGTTTGATTTTTTTTCCGTTTCAGTATCCAAAAATGTGGAAAACTCTTTAAAAAGTCTATATGAGCCGTGTAAGTCTCACCTGAATATACAAGTAGTGGTTACAATGTAAGCAAAAACTATCGACTGCATTAAAAAAAATGCCGATGAACGTAACTAATACGTTTTCAAGTAACGAGAGGGAATATATTGTTTACAAGGGATCGTGTGTTATACGATACATTCGATAATCAATTATTGACAGATAAGGCCACTAGCGGGTGATTACAGATACAATATAAATATTACTTCTAAGCAAAGGCTTGGGCAGTCGTCAGCCGACCGAAATCAGGCAGGATTTGGACACTGTTTTGTTGAGAAAAAAAATGTTAAAATTTTGGATTGCACTCACTTGATATAATGTTTTATTGTCTTTGGAGATTTAAGCTTTAACTTTGTTGTTGCTTAATTAAAAGGAAAATCTATTTACTCAAAAAAATTCCCGCTACAGAATTCCGTCGGCTGATGATTGTATCGAACGCGATTTTTTTTCAAATATATATTTATATGCTTATAAATGATAAACGATTAACTAGAAGGTTTCACAATGCAATTTATTCACCACATTTATATAAACTCTTTGATGACACACTTTCATCTCAGAAAATAACTTACGCACTAGGTATATATATATTTTTTTTTTCATTTATCAGTTTTCCCTTACAATTTGTCTTGCACGTTTATATTTTTATCATCATTACTTGCTAGTATAAGTAAATTTCACGCATACGTTATACAAATATTCTGTAAATAGATTGCTCGTTTAATACCTCGAATATACGTGTGATCTATCTTTCAAAGACAGGCTTTTGTTCTACCATCGACCTACTACTTCGGTATGGAATTCGGAAAAAAAAAAAAAAAAAAAAAAAACCAACGGGGAGTCAAAAAAGAAACGTTTAACTTTTGAGATCTCTCGTTGCATTTTTGATTTGTTTTTTTATTTTTCTTATTTATTATTTTTATTATTCTTCTTTTTTTTATCCATGATAAATATATATCTTTTCTTACAGGTTATACGAAAGAGTATTGTTTTACACAAATTAGTAACACTAGCATCGCTCAAGTACCTTAATTCTCATAATTACAGTGTATTTTAAGAATATATCGAAGTACTGCCTTATCGACGGAGCTGTGCTATACTAACAAAAAAAACTAATATTCTTTCATGCCACTATACACAAGTCAAAAATCCACCCACTCGCGTATCGATAACTTTCATTTTGTTTCCACAGAGAAACAATTACACGCATTTATCCTTTGTTTAGAAAAATATATCTAAATTCTGACCGAGGCACTATTTACCGGACCTATCGTTGTCAGTAAACAATCGCATCGAAAGAGCACAGGAGTCGTGAATATCCTGGCTAAAAGAGGAACCCCATCATTTGGTTGTGTTACAGAACGCAGAATTTGAGTTGTAATGTAAAAAAATTGAAAAAATATAAAATTTCTCCGTCTTTAAAGCAATAAACTTCCCATTCGCAGTGAGAAAGAGAGAATAAACAGAGCCTTAGACAATAGTGGCCGAAGAACAATCGTCCTCGCGAAAGCGCCGTAACAACGCGCACAGACACACGACACGCCGAATCCAGGCACCGCTCACTTCGAGTCGCGGCTCCACCACGATGATCTGCAGGTCGCCTTGTCGTAAATAAGAAGAACGAGTACAAGGCAACCTCTCGCGGTCTTATATCGTGCGTTACAACGTCGACTCGTGGATTACCGATGCATCATGCTCGTCAATTGTGCCGTTTTGTATTATCGACCGCTCCGGATAATGTGGATAGGGCATTAACGTGATTGAAGACGTTTTCCTCAATGATTTTGGTGACGTCTGAAAATAAAAATAAGACGATCGATCGAATCACAACGTCACGAGATGAAACCACTTTCCAAATAACACCAGTCATACCCATTCGATTATGCCTGGCGCGTCCTCGTTCTCGTACTCCGACTCCAAAGCCGTCTTCAGAGGTGACGACTCCTCACCATCAAGGTCAACTGTAGCGCTCCTCTTGACAGGCTGAAGAGTCGAGTAATTCCTGCCTCCCCTATTGAAATTGTTCATATTTTTCTCCTCGATGACTTTGTCCTGGCAGAGCGTCTCCTGGCTCTTGCTCATTTGATTACTCATGTTGTTGTTATTCCCGCTGTTGTTATTATTATTGTTGTTTGTATTAGTGTTTTGTTCGTTCGTGGTATTGTTCTTGTTGTTGAAGTAAAAGGGCGGCATCTTGGATACCCAGTGGTCGAGTCCCGAGCCAGCGGACGAGGTCGACGCCGCCGATGAGTTACCCGTCGACGAGCTCGCCCGACCGCGTTTCTGGTAAAACAGAATGTAAGCGGCGTTGGTCACGAGATTCGTGTCGTTCGTAACAGGCTCGACTCGCGTGTCGTCGAAACAATACCACTGGGTGTCGTAAGGATTGCGACAGAATGCCGTGTAATGTCCACCCTGCAAAACGATCCGAATTAATTTACATGTACCAACTAACCCCAGGATAATATGGTTTACAAACAAGAAACGAACGAACCTGCAGATCTTGTCCATGATGGTTGCAAATGGCGTACAGGTCGTATACGTTCTCGTCGTTGTTTGGTATGTTGAACTGCCGTGTCCTGGGCTTTTTCCAGGGCGACCAGCCCAAGCCTCCGGACGTCGCGACCGGCGTGTGCGTAGATTGTACCCCGTTGTGTGCCAAATGGGGCGTCATGTCGAAGCCGTAGAGTGGAAAGTCAACGAGCATCGTCAATTTCGACGTCGAGCGCTGCTTGGACTGCTGCCTGAAGCGCTTTAGGTGTATCACCAGGACGACAGGCAACGACCACAGCCCAAGTTTTTTCACGACCTCCTGCTTGCGGTTGCAGTGCGGACAGTGCCAGGCGTCCTCCACTCCCAATGTCTCCGCTCTTGTGTACAAGTCGAAGCACTCCTCCAGGGTGACTCCACCACCTGTTGGATACATCGTTGGTCTTAGACCGAAGAAATAAAAAGGAAAAGCCGTTAGAAAACGGAAAAAAGCCTGACCCGACTCGGAGCTGTTTTTGAGCTGCTTGACGCTGGCGTGCTCCTCGATCTGGTCTGTGTCGTCGGCAATGATGTTGTACTTGGCGGTCTCGTCCCACTCGAGGATGAGCTTGACGTGCTGGGGCCCCGAGTCGTCGGCGCACAATCCCAGGGCGGTTTCAATCTGCTCGGTGTAGAGCGGGTGCTCAACGCACGGGTCGATGCACGGGTGCTCGTCCTGGGCCGGGGTGGCAGCGGGATCGGCCACGCGGATGTTGAACAGCCCCGGGCCCTGGCTCGACGTTAGGACGTCGTCGGCCAAGCAAGCGTGCATCTCCTTGAGCAGGAGCTTCTGGAGATCCTCGTACGAGGTCTCGCGCGACACCTGCATCGTGTACGGGCTGCCGAAACGTTGGCGCAGCTCACCCTTCACCAGCACGTTGATCCAGACCAGGAGGATGTAAGCCTGCTCGGTCGGCTCCTTCAGCTGCGGCAGCTCGATGCAGTACAGCGGATCGGTCTCCGTTATCACCGACAACGGCTGGCAGTCCGAGAACGTCCTGTGTGGAACATCAACATGGCGTGAGGTTTTTTTGTTTTTTGTGAAATCTAATAAGATTTGCTCAAACTAAAGACCGGGATGATGTAATACGGTCGAGGCGTTGGTTTATCTCGTGATTCAGCCGCGCGCGTCTTCGGCCGATGACTCACGCGCTCCGGTTCGATATTAAATACCAAGTCAAAGATAGAGCTAGCTGGTATTGTGTACAAGTAATGTGTCTTTCCCCCCCCCCATTATACGTACACGGAGAGGGTGCAGAGATTACGATGACTGTACAGCAGCTCGAGTCTCTCCATGTGAAAGGTCTCGTCCAAGAGGGAGGGAGTGACTCGTGAGTCGTAATAACAAGTTATTGTGGATGAGGACAAACCTGTGAAAGCCCTCGTCGTGTACTTCGGTGAGCAGCATGTGGTTCTCGTCGACCCCGGTGTCGGTGGCGAGTATCTCCCTGAGCTCCTTGACGTTGGCCGCCTGGTTGACGCTCACGCCGATGCGCACCTGTCTCGGCTGCTGGGACGTGTAGAGGACGTTCACGAAGAGGCTCATCTGGCGGTGGACTTGGGGCACGGGGACGGAGACGCAGAGAAAGGGGTCGAAGGTGTTGGACTGCTTTTGACACCGCGGACAGGTGAGGCTCGAGCGGAACTGGGCTTGGAATACCTCGTGGACGAACGAGTTGTTGCACCTTCGGTGGTTCTCGTACGTTTCGGCGGCCACGATTTCTGGTCTACCGAACGAATTCTGCGGGAAAAGCAAGAGGATGCGCATTAGCATTGCCGACGATCGTATTATAGATCGGATGGGTTTAAAGTCCAGTCACCAGCATTTCTTATTGTATCATTTTTTTTATGACATGAGCTCGAAGAAAAAAAAAGTCCTCATCAAAAGGGTCAATTAAACGATACACGGAATGGCTACACTGCGCCGACTGTTGGGACTTGCGTTTTTTTTTTTTTTTTTTACTTGCAGAGATTAGCATCTCTCTACTCGAAACAATTGTCCATTTTGACGAGCTCGAGAATAATATGTATTATGGGGAGCGCTTTCAAGACGTACTCATCGGAGTAAACCTATATGTGGCCATTAGCCAAACAATGGGGTACTTTTGCGTTTCCGGATTATTTTCGTGTGTACAGCTGTACGGGGGCGGCGTTTCCGGTGCGTCGTGTGCGCCCCGCGACGACGAAATTAAAGAAAAAAAAAAAGCAGCAATGGCTCGTTTACCACGGCTATTAATAGCCGCGCTGATGCGTCTGCGTCTGGTACACGCGGAGGATGCGAGAGGGAAAAAAAAAAACACGTGTCTGGACGCGCGCACATGTGGGCCCTTTGTCGCCGTTGCCGCGTTTTTTTATCTCCAAGGTAACGTGGGATGTGTCGGCGCGGAAAATGGATTTTTCACTTCAGACGATGGGTTTTGTACGCGTTTCGGAATGACGGAAGACAAGGGACGCTATAGTTATTTAGGGGGAAATTTTGGAGAAGTAAGGGATTGAAAAATTGGGTAAAAAATTTGGATCTCGATGACTGATTTTTTTTTTTTTTGTAAATGATTGAGTATACTTTACTGATTTGATAAAATGACATACATTTTGGTAAAAATTATTGGAATCACGATCAAGTCTTTTATTAATTTATTCACGCGAGGTTCGATAAAACGATAAGCCTCGGCTCGTGTGACACCGTGTATACACTGTTTTATCGCGTGCAGAAAAAAAAAAAAAAAAAAAAAAAAATTGAGACCGAGGGACGGAGGATTAATTTATCAAAAACGCAAANCCAGGAAACACAAAGGGCGTGGACGAGGAATCTGAAGCTTCGCATGATTTTCGAGTCGCATAATTGTTCAGAACCGCACTGAAACCTTTATTACTCAAGGTGAGATGGTTCGTAAAAAAAAAGGTGCCAATGACGAGAGACATCTGTCTGGAAATAAAAGTCTGATGGTGATGCAATGTTCGGGAGACTTCAATAAGGCGGTAATAGGAGCACATTGTGTGTGTACATATAAAGCGCGCTGGCATACACTGTTTTATCGCGTGCAGAAGAAAAAAAAAAAAAAAAAAAAAACAATTGAGACCGAGGGACGGAGGATTAATTTATCAAAAACGCAAACAGAATCGTACGAGAAAAAAAGGAGAGGCACGTGCGTACACCTCCGCAACCTTGAACCAGACGAAGACGACGATCACACGTACTGTACGTGTTATGTGTACGTTTTCAGGCCTTTTTGGACATTTTCGCGTGTTTGTCAATACTCATGGATTTTTATTGTCAGTATATAACAAAGTAAATTGAATTTATCGTAACAAAGAAAGTCACGCCAATTCGGGGATTGGCTCGTCGACTGTGATTATACCTCTGGGAATCCCTATTTGCCCAAACTAGACTGATATTTCGGTACCTATGACCGAAATTGTACCTATATAAAATTTCTCATTTCAATCATAACATATCTTCAATTGTAGACAATGTTTAACGTGTCACTTTTATTTCAGATTTTGCACCTCTAATCACGAAATATATATTTTACCTGTTTCTACACGTCATCCTCGATGTTTGTATTAATTAAAAAAAAAAAAAAAAAATCAAAACGGAAATCAGATTACAGAACTAATAGAAAAAAAAAAAATTACTCGACGTGAGCACGTTCAGCGTTTCCCTATATTTCCCGAAACCTAATATATTTTACCTGTTTCTACACGTCATCCTCGATGTTTGTATTAATTAAAAAAAAAAAAAAAAATCAAAACGGAAATCAGATTACAGAACTAATAGAAAAAAAAAAAATTACTCGACGTGAGCACGTTCAGCGTTTCCCTATATTTCCCGAAACCTAATATACTTTTAGATGTAGCTTCATCTCGTTCTGTTATCGATCGGCCGGCCTTGAAACTGTTTCGCCGAGGACCAGAACGCGCATCAGGATGCGGCAGCGAATAAAAATAAAAAATAAAAAAAAGTCATCACCTTCTCCAAAAACAAAGCTCAATTTTACATAGCCCACACAAATATTACTGTCTTTTTTTCCAAAGTGTCTATCAATGCATCACGGCAGTATTATCATACAAATAATCCATTGTAAATTATCGTCCAAGATGAAACATCGCTAATTATTGTATGCAACTTATATGTATAGGTATCCTGCATGAATTTGTTTTATTTAAATTCCAGCTGAATGCTCCCAACGCGTTATTTTACGCGCATGTAGATTCACACAGTTCCGTACACCACAGCGAGCAACTATACATTTTTCATCCTTCTCGCGGAGAAGCTGCTGCCGCTGCGGTGAAAAGTGTCGCGGTGGGTTACACCACCGCTAATTCTCTTGCACTTTTCTTTTGCAACTATATTCCCCCTCTCTTGCTAACGTCAATACCCTGCTTTTATATTAATGTTGTTGCGCAGATTCTCCCCCCCCCCTCCCGCCTAACCCAAGCTCGCAATTACCCGTGCCATGGCTCGCAGATTGGGTTGTTATTATTTTAAATGCATAGAGGAGACTCTCTCCTTTACGCTGCGCTGTTACGCGTACACACTTTTTTAACTCTGAAAAAACGTATCTAATTAGTAAGGGCTTTTTTTTTTTTCTTCATCCCTTCGTACGAAATGTTAACGAGTCTGTCTCGAGGCACGCGAGTTTAGTTAATTCGTGATTGTTGCAATGAGCTTTAGAATTATTATAAATTGTTTAATTGAAGCATAAAAACGGGAACCATCAGAAGATGAAAAACGATACAATCCTTTTGCAATCGTTTCCTCATGTATAGGCGCGCGCAATTATATTACGACTTCACGGAAATACTCTCTTTCTCTGGATGTGTTGCATATATACGTTTATCATTTTTGTATAAGCTTCATGATTACTATACATAGGCCGTTTACCTTTTGTGCGGGAGGTATGAGTAAAAAAAGTATGCGGTACGTGCAAGAATTTAATTTTTTTTGATGAAGAAATATTATTGGTGGGTATAAAAAATAGAGATAATATGAGTAATAAAAGGATGACAACGTAGAGATATGAATGTATGTACGTATATGCGCGAATGTTGGCATCCAACAAACAGATGTATAATATGTGTGTCCAACATCGTAGGTGGAAAATGACAATTGCGGGTAGCGGATTACGCAATACAGCGCACGAAACATTGTACTTTTTCGAGTTGAACAATTGCTACTACTATTGTCTGCTGTCTGCAGTTATATTTAAATATAGACTCAACAGGTACGAGGATGTCAAAAAAAAAATTCTGTACACGTGCTGAAGTAAGAAATTATTAATTTTTCTTTTGTATTGGCGTTGGTAATAATCAATTTGTTTAATAGGAATCATTTTTACCAATAAAATGTCTTTTATTAGCGAAACAATTTTCATCCAGACGAATTTCAAAGAATAAAAGTATAAAGGCACTTAAAACCTCTTTGTTATTATTCAGTAAAATTTTAAGCCGATATAATTTTTGTAAGATTAATAAGTTTTTAGATGGTTAACTAAAATGTTAGTTGAAATATAGAATAAGTTTTAATCTACAGAATTTGCATAGGTATTGGTATTTCGTATAATCTAGTCAAAAAACACTTAAATGTGAAACGTCATCGATATAATGCACACGTATTTTTTAAACGAGATTTAATTGCTCGCAAGCTGGCAAATTAGCTAGATTTGATTGCTAATATATATCTAATGTATATTAGCGTGTTGACAATTAGTGTTGATATCATCTATTTTTTTCAGGAGTAGGTCATACTTAAAAATAATTACTTGCGAGCATTTTTTTTCTCTCCTCGCTCGCACACACGCAACAATTTTTCCGATAGCCATTCATGATATTAATAAATTTATTGGTCGCGGGTAAAGTCCATACAAGTGTAAGAAAAGTTCAAAAATATCGAGCAAACCATTACGCGAAGATTCACAATCTTTCAAATCGCAACGCGAACCACATGTACGTAAATTCTCACGAATTAGAGGAACAAAAAGAAGAAGAAGAAGAAAAAAAAAACTGATGAAGACAAAACAAGGGAGACATATATGATATAGCGATCAGTTGCGGTCGAGGTTTCTGTGTATATTACCCAAGCGTGCCGTAATGTCGACTAAAGGAAAAAAACAAGCCCTACCTACTATAACGTTTGGTCGCGGTTTTTCTTTGATAATACACGTATACAGCACGCCCTTGTGCGAGTTTAAACTTGTTAGGTGGTGGTGATTGACCGGAAGAGAAAAATGCGGAGAGAGATTTGCATATTAGAGGTCAGTGTCACGAGTTTGCCGAAATTGAGGATCATAATTGAATTAACGATTAAATGTCCAAATATTGTTTTGGGGTAGAAAAACCTGGCATTTTGATAAAAATTAAATCGTTGAAAGTTCCGCCGGGCAATTTGGTTTGAAATTTCGTGACAATTGTACAATTTGAACGAACGTTAAGCCACAAGGTGCTGACATTAGCTCAAAGGTCACGGGTTATGTTTCCAAACGGAGGAGGCAAAGGAGAGAGAGTGAAAAATCGGATTAACAGTACAGCCGCGAAATATATATATATATACGTTGCGACACGTGGTATCTGATGGTGATGCAATGTTCGGGAGACTTCAATAAGGCGGTAATAGGAGCACATTGTGTGTGTACATATAAAGCGCGCTGGCAAAAAGAAGAAGTTTGTATATATGACAAGTGACGCGGAATAAGCGCGGATGGCTTCTCCTCTAATCAGATCATAAATTGCGCGCGATCGCGC